GAGTACCGTGTGGTGTGGTGTGGGGAGATAGGGTTTGTCTTTTTCCTTTTTTTCTTTTTTCCATCTTCTACGGCGTGCAGCCACTTTTTTTTAGCATCGGCCACCTGAAGAGCTTGAAGGCATAGGGGATGCGGGATGGAATTTTTTGGCGGGCTTTCGGCTCGCCTCTCATTCTTTGGAGGGATGGCGGAAACTTTTGGTGGGCCTTTTTCAGCATTTTCGCGCCTTCCAATAATTTCCCTGTGTGTAATTAAAATCACCGTCAGGGTAAATTCAAAAACCGACAGAGTAATTATTTACCCTGTCGGTTTCTTAAACACATAGGTTAATACAAATTTCCCTGATGGTTATTCATTTTCCCTGTGTGTTTTACGATAACCGTCAAAAAAATTGAATTTACCCTGACGGTTTTCTCAATAACCGTAAAAAATAAACCAAAACCGTCAGGGTATTTCGATTTTCCAGTAGTGAATATATGGTGGAGAAGAATGGCCTGCTGGTTGGTATTTGATGCGTGCCTAGACCAACAAGAAACTGCGTACACCTCACGAGCTTTGTAGTTGACATATCAACGTCTTTCTTTTCCCTTTTCATCCACACATGCATGTTTGGTGAGGATTGACAAGTGCGCGACAACAGAAGCACCATCTAGCTACATCGACACTCACTGATATGTTACTTATTTTCTTTCGTACTATCATTATTAGTTCTCTCATTCTGCAGTCATCTATCGTCTCTTTATTATTTATTGGGAATAATATATCATAGGAACATTCTTCACTTTTACTCGTAAGCATGCATAAAAAGATTACGAAACTAGCTAGTTAAGCTAGCTGTCCTAGCTCGCTCGCTTCAAAGCAAAAACGAAGTACTCCAAAAGGAAAAGAAAGTGTAGGTATTTGGATGGATGCACCCATCACCCATGATGCATGCGTGTGTACCTGGGTGTTGTTCTTGCAATACTCAAGGTCGCTCCAGCAGGTGTCGTCGACAGGCTTGTTAGGGTCACGGCACTATGCCAGAAAACCTTATCAGTGACGCGTGTAGAGGGTCATCAGTGACGCGTAAAACACGCGTCACTATTCTTGCGTCTGTGATAAGGGCACATTAGTGACGCGTAAAAACGCGTCACTAATAGGAAACTATCCGTGACGCATATTTAGAACACGAGTCACTGATAACGCGAACATGAGTCACCGATAACTATAAAACGCGTCACTGATAAGGAAATAGAGTGACGCTTATTCATAATACGCGTCACTGAAAACGGGAACACGCGTCACTGATAAATCCATATCAGCGACACGCTGTGGGAACCCGCATCACTAATAAGTCTATATCAGCGACACGTTGTGGTAACACACGTCACGAATAAGGATATATGAGTGACACATACTAAGAATATGCGTCACTGATAATTTGATATCAGTGACTCATGTCTGTCTAATGTGTCACCGATAGCATATAACAAATGTACACATTGCTCATCGTAAACCCACATCGTTCACACGAAAGAAATATATATATATATATATATATATATATATATATATATATATATATATATATATATATATATATATATATATATATATATATATATATATATATATATATATAAGTCATCAATATGTAACATGTTCACACAAGATAGACATCAAGTTCAACAGATTCACATTTATATCAAATGTTCACAACTTGTTCAAAATCCATCACAACTTGTTCAAATCCATCTAAACATTGGGCTTAATTTATTTAGTCACACACTACATCACTGGACTCACACCGATAATGGCAAACACACATCACTTTGGTCATGATGGAACTCTCCTTTCTTCTCGATGACTTGTTCCACTAAGAACTCAGCTAGCTTTTCTCTAATCATGAGCATATCGATGGGCGTCGTCAACACTTCAAATTCCTGTGTCAAGATAGAACTTTGGTAAAAAGAAAACATGGTACAAAGTACAATGTACAGGACAATATAGACAATCAATGTAAAAAATCACAGTTGCTAAGCTTGATGCAAACAATCAAGGGACATAGGAACATCCGCAGATGTGGAAATTCATTAGCAAGCGAGATGGTGCTGTGCCTATGTCTATCACTTGAGTAAAATATATAGGCAGCGTAAAGCATCGAGCATTCGAGCTTATGACTAAAGTAGTACTGTGCATGTTTCCACTAAAAAGAAACTGCAGAGTTTTCTTCTTCTACATCAAGGGAATAGCCTACAAATGTAGTGAAATCGCATTAAGGTTTGAAATACAACTGTTACTTGAGACTTTTTTTACGGACACGCAGGATCTGCTTCCTTGAGACTGATTTGAAGACAGAATCTTTGAGGCCACACAAACTTTTCATCAAGACTATGAGCAATCGGCTAGTGCCACTATTACCGAATAATGATACTCAAATTGAAACACAAACTGCCATCTGCGACAATGGCCACACTATATCCGAGTGCTAGAAACAAATAAACAATCGAGAGAAAATAATCCGTTAGCTAGCTGCATGCTCCTAATCCAATCACTAAACTACCTAGAGCATAAGGAGGTTCAGCTGCAAAAGCACAGAGCTGGCACCTGCTCCTCCACCCTCATCAGATCACTCCCCAAAACGAAAAGACAGGTAGCAATACAAATAAAGCCTCCACCTTTTCTCTTCTCTTGAGATAGAAAAAGACAGGTAGCAGAACAAGTACAATGGGCTAAAAACTATACTAGGATATGACACAGTCACACACACTCAAACAACCATGGGCCATTATATTTGCACATCCAAAGTTTAGATATGAATACCTCGAGTATTCCAAGTTTGTCTTTCTCATAGCTAAAAACAAGTGGTGTGCAAAATACCAGCCAGATGACTTAGCGGAAGATTGTTGAAGGCACTTTGCGACAAATATATATAGAACACAATAATTTGAAAATGGAAGTTGAACACAGTACTTAATATACTAGAGGCACAATATTGACTTTTATTTTTGGAAGCACTTACCGCATATTTAAAAGCGTGTTTCAATGGCTCTGGTCTGTCTTTCAGCTTGTTTGTGTGTCTTGCAAAAGCCCTACATGTAAGAGTACAACACACACATATATATGGCTCATTATGTTGGTTCAATGATATTGGCACTTATGAAACAAGTCAATAGTAGGTAAGCAAACAACTCACTCGTCAATCAACAGTTTTAGCACGCTGAAATCATGGTTTTCAGATCTGTTGGAATCAAGGTATATGACCTTATTCCACTTTTGAATTATTACCACGACGATCCAATGATCACCAGCTAAGCCGCCAGAGTTGTAAGCTCTTGTCCAGTGGATGGCTGGACAGCAGCGTGCTTGTTAAAGACATCGACATGCACTAGATGGCTGCTGCATTGTTTTAAACATGCAGCATGCACTAGAATTTGCTGCATAGTGCACCATCTATAATTAGCTTAAGCTCTCAACTTGTACTGCATGCCTTTTAAATAACACTTAAAACTTAAAACTGCAGGGCTTAGCAAAGTTTGGGGCCTAATATATCTCAAACTATTGAGTGTTTGATCTATGTTCTTAAACAAAAATGATAAATCTATGATCCAAAGAACCTATTTTTGGAGGCCAATTGTGTTAGCTATACACTAAATCAGCAGAAAATGGTCATAGAATAGGCAATCGCTAAAATCAACACGAATAGTGCAATCACATAATATAAAGGCACAACATCTAACTGAACAACAAAGTTTCCAATGGCTGCAAAAAGATCGGTGATATTGCTACTTGGTCGATTCTCCTATAAGTACAAAAAAGATAGAGATGCTGCGTGAAAAAAGATATGCTCACCCAATTATGTAGGTCAAACGCAAAACCGCATGCTCCGATGTGTATATATCTCTAAAAAAACAAAAGTTCACCAAGAATTAGTTAGCTCATTCGAACGGACATATCATTATACCGACTTATTCAGAAGTGACCATTCCGCTAACTTATAGAGTGACCATAGGCTAGCTATCCATTTTCAGCTAATCTGGTAGAGTGACAAAGTGGTCATTCATGTGCTGAAATCACTTGAGGCAAATATATCATAATAAGTTGTCATTCAAACTTAAACCTTACTCGAAGTCGAACAGCTAGCATCAGGTACCAACTAACAGGCTCAACCTTGTTAAATAATTTGAAAAAACTCTTCTAAGTTCAATAAATAGTGAATACATGAAAAATCAAAATTTAGCAGAGTATGTAGGTCAGTAACCAATATCGACATCCCAATTCTGGTTAATCAATCACATATAGTAGCAGGTATTCATTGAAGAAAGCAAGCAGCATATTTAATCCAGAAAGCAAGCACATTCCACACAGTATATTAATTCCATAAAGTACAAATCTTATCATAGTGCAAAAACACAGCTTAGTACAAATCCCAAAAGGCAATTTACAAATTCCTAAGTGCAAACATCTAGGAGATGGAGTAAGGTAGTTCAATGTAATAAGACCTAAAAATATTTTTTTCAAACATAGATAGGAATAGTAAGGCACGCATCAAACATGACTCACAAGCTCTTGGAGATTTGGAGGAAGATTATATGCAATATCACTGCCTCCATGGTTATTGTTGCTCGTATAATTGGATCAGTTAAAATCGATCCATGGATAACAGTAGGAAGGGGTATGCTCACAAATCACAATAGCAGGTAAAGGCATGGATTTGTGGTCTTCACCATTGTTCAGGCTAGCTTGATAATCTAACCTAAACCCACCTTTGTACACCACCGGTTTGTGCACTAAAACCACAGAGGACTAAAAATCCAAATCAGGATAATCTAGAGTTTCCATGAGGACACGAGCAAATAGCAATAATGCAAGGCAACTGCAGAAAGGGGGCCTAAGAAGAGCCAAAAAGTGTTCTCACCGGCACGTGGAGGCGGGTTGAGGAGCAGCATCTCGTTCCCTGCCGCCGCGTCCCCGGAGAGCAGGAAGCTGGTCATCCGCGGCCGAGGCCGCAGCGCTGCACTCTTAGCGTCGGCGCATCCCAAGGAAGAGTGCGAGCTCCCCATCCTTCTTCATGATGACGGCACCGAGAATCCAGCCCCTAGCCTCGCCGTCCATTACTCCCACCCGGCGCTGCATCGACGTCACTCCAACAGCACGGCCTGTGGCGTCATTAGGGTTCCAGCAAGCGAGATCTGTGGCACCGAGGAATGAGGTGATGCTGAATCTCCGGCCTCGCTAGATCCGCCGTCGGCTAGGGCCTCTATCTGCTCGAGCCGCCACCTCACCAGATCGTACGAGGGCCGTGCCCAGCGCTTGCTCTCCGGCGGGCTGCCTCCTCACCAGATCCATCCATGGAGCCGTCGTGGTTGGGGAAGGGGGAGGTGGAGGAGGAGGGGAGGTGGAAGCGGAGGAGGAAGATGGGATGTCGCGGCGGCAGAGTAGAGGCAGTGGCGGTGGAGGAAGCGGGGAGGTGGTGACCGCTGCCCGGCCGGCGGAGTGCAGGAGGCGAGAGTTGAGAGAGAACAGGGGAAGACGAGAGAGGGGCGAGGGGACGGGCGAGGGGGGGAACGGGATTTCGGACTTGAGTCCTCATTTGACCATACTTGATAATTTTTTCGGGTCCGAGGGTGACGGGGGTAATTGAAACGCGTCACTCGTAAGAAGCTCCTGTTGTCAGTGACACATCTGGTTGGAAACGCGTCACCCATTTTGTTTATTTGCCATAGGCGACAGCATACCAGTGACGAGTTGTGTTCACTCGCGTCGCAGATAACATATTGGTGACGCGTTTTAGATCCAAGTCACAGATTAAGGCGTCACTAATAAGCATTTCTGGCATAGTGCGGTATGGGTTCATGTACACCGTACCGATGGAGGACGTCAACACGACCCGCTTGACGCCGGTGTCAGCCGCCGCCGTCATCACGTACCGTGTGCCCCGGATTGCTGGCTCGATCATCATCTCCTGCAGCATGCATGCGAGTGTTCATGCATTGGGGCGGGCAGATCGGAGCCAAATAATTTAATTAATTCTGGACTGAGGAGAAGAAATATATATGTGTCCTAGCAGCAGCTTACAGGATGATCGGTTACCGGGGAGGCGGCGTGGAAGACGCCGTCGCAGCCGGAGAAGGCCTCGACAAGGCTTCCTGGATCCAGAGCGCAGATCGGCGCGGAGGAGGACGATGCGATCGGCGGCGCCGTCAAGGGCCCTCAGGTGGTCGTTCTTTGGATCCACTGATCGAGAGTTACGTTCGTTGTACAAAAGGACCAAAGGACAATATGCATGCATCGTTAGTTACATTATATATATGCAAATTAAATAGATTTGTTGATATATACCACATATATATCTAACGACACGAATGCATGATCGGATGGGATAACCCACGCACGCACCAGGGTTCCTGACCGTGCCGCGGACTGTATAACCCTTCTCGAGGAGGCGCTTGACGAGCCATGAGGCGATGAACCCTCCAGCTCCGGTGACGCAAACTGTCCGGCCTTGCCCGGAGAGCGCCGGCACGGGAGTCGTCGTCTCTGCTGTTGGCATCCTAGCTATCTCGAGCGGCCCTTCGATCGATCTCAGCTCTTCAAGGAGAATAGATATATAGATAGATGTATGTTTGTTTCTAGTCTAGACTAGAGACTTCGGTTATTAGTCTGACGTATGCGCTCGCTTGGGTAAGACAGCTGAGGACAGTAGTTACTAGCAAAGTGTGCTGGGGGCAGACTTCACGAGAAGACAGGCAAAGTGTGGAGCCACGTGAGCGGGAGAATTGTAACACTACTCCCGGAGGAGTTGGTGGGAAAGTTTCTTCATATCTGCACAAGAATGAATATGCAAGTTTGGTTAGGACTGATATACGTACATTTGTTCAATCAATGTAGTAACAATCGATTAAAAATTGTCAAGAAGCTTCTACTATCTTTGTCAGGGTGGGAAGGTAGCCGAGATATAGCTAGTACATGGAGACTGGAAGATCCAGATCGAACCGGTAGAGTCGCGCATTGGCCACCCAGCAGCTCCGGAGATCAGCGCAGGGTTGGTAGCAGCTACTGTAGTCCGGAGCGAATGGCTTGCATGGACTGATGGACGAACGATTTGTTTGGTTTCAGGCTGGGGCCGTCACGCTTTCGGTTCTGCCACTGGCTACGCTTCCACCATACCGATTCCTAGGAGTAGGGGTAGTTTGGAGATCACAATTGCCTGCTTGCTTGTATAAGTTCCTTATTGATTACTTTTTTCTCCACTCAGTCGGCAGTTAGGCTGGGTGTCGGGGTTTTGTCGCCAGGTCGTCCCAACGCGGTGGTGAAATCGTCGGCTCAGCTGAATTCTATTGGTCGTAGAGGAGGGACTGTAACGCGCTAGCGAGGAGGGCCCCGTTCACTGATATTAAATTTGACTGAAACTGATTGATTGTTGTGGGAGAAAAACACTGTAGTGTCTGATTGATAAACAGTATCTTATAAGGAGGAGCAGCCGGCTGGCTTTGGAAAAACCAGACTAGCAAACGCGCCCGAGATACTCGGTAGTCTCGCACAAACCCCAAGGAGGCATCCTCTCTCAGCTCTGAACTCGTGTACCTGTACTTTCAATTTCTTTTCTTTTGTTTATTGTTTTTAGCCACCAGCCCAGCTGACGATTTGACAATGCCATTGAGGATGCCCTAATAGTAGACTCCTCCACGTTATTCTCCCTTTTAAGTTTTAATGAAAAACATGTACAAATGTTTGTTGTGGACACATTCAGAAAATGTATATGTTGTTCGGTACACTATCTTCGTGGACAGCAGCTCATGAATTATGACAGCATGTTTAATCTGGTGCAATAGATCGAGAAAATTGTTTCAGGTTTGATTACATTCAATGAATAGTGAAAAAACTCAAAATGTGACGTAATTGCTGACTGTGCCCCTCTTCTTCCAAGAATCAAGAGGGGAGTATATAACTCCGACTATAATATTTATCTAATAAAAAAATCTAAAACGCCTTATACAACACAAAATTCTGTGGTTGATATTTGTATAGTTACTGTGATGACGGCTAGTCCTAGCTAGGACTGGTAGCCGACCATGCGGGCTTCTAGAAAAGCAGATGGGTATCCGATGTGTTTACAATTAATCTCCACGCGAGCAACGCTTTCTGGACGATCATGGGCGATGTGAACGTGACAATTTAAGAAGCAGATGCTTCGACTTTACTACCGGTTTTCCTTGCATCCTGGACGTCATTTTGAAAAGACACCATCTCTCAAGTATTCACATGATATATACTAGCTCATTGATTGACACGGTCACCACTTCTTGCGTTCTATGCTATGGCAAGAAAGGAAGGGTAGAAAAACACGGACAGAGGGGGGGAAACAAGGCGAGGCCCAAGATCACTTGCGTCGTATCAAAAACAATGTCTGCGAAGCGTCGCACAATGATGGCTCTCGTTTTGTTACTCCCTCCGCCCGGAAGGCTTGCGAGTATGGGTTTCAAGTAGTTAATCAGGAAGTAAAAAGTTATTATACTACAAAAAAAAAGATCTCTAGATGAGACAACTAGAATAGATTTGTTGAGCTGCCAGAATTGTCTGCCTCTACTTATGTGTCTCTAGAAATCATCAAAACACAGCCACCCTTACAGATGGATTTCTAGCACCAAAAACATAGCATAGAAAAATAATCCTAGGAAAAACCCACTATAGCCAATCCCTAAGTTTTTCATACATGCGTAGCTGCGGGGAATCAAACTCAAGACCACTATCCTCGTGCAGTATTTTTACCTCTAATCCACTTGTGACTAAGTGACTCATACAATCCTTTTACATTATTTTCCAAAAATTACAACAAATATTTGCCACCATAAATGAATTCAAATAAAAAATTCAGAAAAATGCACAAAAAACTTTCAAATCTCTTCGAGTATTGCAACTTTGCTTTAGATGGTTTCACCATTCGAGGTTATTTGAAAAAAATAAAAAAAAATCAATTTCTAAGATTCCAAAATTTAAAATAGAATTTTCAGGGCCTAACTGAGTTCAAGTGAAAAAGTAGCAAACTATAAATTTATAGATCCCTTCATTTGAGTGCTACAACTTTTGTTTTAATCATTTCTACATCCGAGGTCATTTGAATATTAAAAATGTTGAATTTCAAAATCCAAAAATTTAAAGTAGATTTTCTAGACCATAATTAGATTTCAGATGATAAAGTAGTGAAAGCTACAGATCTATTTGAGTGCTACAACTTTGGTTTAGATCATTCTCCATCCAATGTAATTTGGAAAAATTTAAAAATGAATTTCCAAATGATTTCAAATGAAAAATTAGTCAACTAAAAGTTGCATAACTTTCTAGTAGTACAACTTTAGTATAACGTTTGCCATCATCAAATTTGATTTGGAAAAGTTATGAATTTTACTATATTGTACCTAGTTTTGAAGGCAGACCAAATTACTAGCCGCCTCTAAAAATGCTTCCTTTTCCATCTTTCCAACTATATCTCTAAAAATCAATTTCTATAGATGGGCCGGCTCGGAAACCATTTTTTAGAGGCCGTTCTTTATAGAACCGCCTCTCGAATAAAAGGGAGACGCCTCTAAAAATAGTTTCTGTAGTAGTGAAAGACACATGTACCCCAATACATTTGGTCATTTCACCCGTGTGCTATGCAAGTGGTTATAGTTACTCATTGGAATCTATAACCCAACAATAGCCACCGCTGCACAAATGGTTTTCGCCAACACTACTTTTGCCATTGGTTCTCTTAAAAACCTTCCGTGAAAATATATCCCTCCAGCTCATAATGAATTGGCCGTGAGAATCATTTTCACCACCGAATTATGTCCTGAATCATTAGTAAAGATCAGCATACTTTTGAATGCCAGTTCAAGATACAAAATGACAATGAAAACTAGTCTCGAGTACACAAGCGGTCACGAACCCTACTCTGCTCTCTCTTCCTTACCCGCAGTCCTCCCTAAGCGGTGCACTCCCTCCTGGCTAAGCCTGGGCACGAAAAACCAAGAATCGAGAACCGATCCGAACTAACCGGAACCGAAACCGAAGTAACCAAAACTGAAATATTTGGTCCCAGGTTCCCAGGAACCGAAATTATTACGGTTAATTCGGTTCCAATACTCGGTTAACCGAATTGACCTGAAATAACCGAACTAAGTTGTTGGACCTCTTGTTTTTTTTTACTGCAGGCTTAATATTGCTCTATGCTTGAATATTTGAGAGAACAATAACATATATGTGTTGTACTGTTGTTTTATGCTGCATTGTTGTTTAAATTATCCCTTTTGACTGCATGAAAATCAGGCAAAAAGCTATCAAAATTTGCAATTGAATGTGTTGTTTCCTGGTTCATGAAAAATTCGGTTCCATCGGTTAAAATCGAAACCGAACCGAATTAACCGAAACCGAAATTCTTTAGTTCCGCATTTTCAAAATAACCGATCGGTCCCTTCTTCTCAGGTAACGGAATTAGCTGAAGAACCGAAGAACCGAACCGATCGGTTTTGGTTAACCGAACACCCAGACTGACTCTTGGCCTCTCTCTCTCTCTCTCTCTCTCTCTCTCTCTCTCTCTTTATCGGTAGTGTGATGGCCCCCGGTCCTGATCCTTGCCTTGTTTTTGCGTCGCTGCTCCTTTTCTACTCTAGACTCTCCTCCATGGCTCGGTGAACCAGATCTAGCCAATTGCTAGGCCTAGGGTGGCACAAAGAAGGTGGCTATGGCAAGGTGACCCAACTATACGTCAGTGATGGAGAGGTTGTTCTACGACATGGCCACGAGAAAGCCTAGGGTGCAATGCCAGCGATGTCCCTACGGTGCATGCGGAGCTGGTGGCCTACATCTGGCCAAGGGTTGTGTCCCTAGGTGGCATGTGTATATTTTGGCCTAGATCCTAGCATGGGAAGTGACAGACCTTGGACTTGGGTTTTTTAATATTTTAATCAATTTTCAGTAGTGGTGACAAAACTGGCCATTACTTCGGGTGGAGATACGCCATCTAGGCACCCCCTCTCTGCCCTTCGCCATTCCAGCCTTTTGGCTGAACATGCGAAGCAACGGAAAAGGCTCTCTAGTTCGCTCAAAGACGAGTAGGAGAGCACATCTCACGAAAGGCATTCGGTGTTTTTCTTCGCCTACGCCATCATTTTTTGCTAGGAGCGAGCGCAGCGCGGTTGCAGGACGTGTACAACATGGCGAAAAGGAGGGCAAACAAGAAGGCGGCGAAATGAAGACAAACGAACCAGAGGTGAAAGGGGTGTCCGACGAAGATGAAGGCGAAAGCGTCATCAGGGGAAGACGAAAAGATGTCCGTTGCTGCCGGTCCCCACACATGATGTTAGGTGAGGGCCAGGTGCGGTCTGGGGGTGATGGCATCCGGGGAAGGTAGTCGTCGCCTTTTAGACCAACCTGCCCCAATCCGGATAGGTTATGCCTTGAATCAAGGGTGGTTGTAAGGGTGTTTTGGTCATGTAAAAGTCTATAGGCGTGTATAAATATCACCCGAAAGAGGGATGTAAAAGAGAGGAAACAAGTAATGTAATGAAC